TTCAGCAACTTCAGGAAATACACAAAAAATTCCACTCATACCATGAGTGGTTAAGCCAAATCCGGTGGCTCGTGCTTCAGTAAACGGAAGCTTTTCCACGGTATTTAAACAAGCAGGTCTTACAAATGCGGTGAAAGTTACAAACTTCTTCAGAAACATTATGGCAATATCATGGTACTTCATAGGGCGTTTATATTCTGGATGGTTAACGAAGTAGTCTATTATAAAATCTTGGACAAAATCATCATTATTATGAAGGCTTACACTCCCCAGTCGAACTTTTTGAGGAGGACCACTGAGAAAAAATATATTGTTAATCGATTGCTAGATGAAATAAATGTCTGCATTTGGATACCTGTGAGATATGCTGCAATGCGCTGCAGTTAATACGTGTTGATCGCTTATTAAGGATCCTCCACATAACCAATCCATTTCTGAATCTTCAGTGGGGGCAAACCCAATTACTGCCTAACAGAAATATTTAATGAATTACTTAAAAGCTAATGCGTGGTATTACGAACTGAAATAAAGTCTTATTGATGAGAGATGAAATTATGAGTCTTCTTATGCGTCGTGCATAAGAAGACTTTTGTAAATGAGATGAAGAACTGCAGTGTTTCTATATGAATGATAATGTGAAATTACGCTGATTAATATTTTCATCGATGTTCCGTTTTTAAACTGGTAAAAGAATTAAATGTATCGTGCTCCTCCAAGGAGCCTCAATGATCATATTATTCCATCTTTTCCCAATTATTCATATTTGTTCTGTTATTATTTAAACTAAGACGCTAACTGACGCTTCTTTTGTTATTGTTGCTGTATTGAACTATAACATTTAGGCCAATTAATGCAAATAGTGGAACTATGTGTACTAACTCTTCAAGGTTTTCTTAGACTAGCTTACTGTCCTAAAAGTCATTCAAACTATACTGCCGGAAGTATTTAATCCACATTAATAGGCTGCAATATAGGCGACAAAAAGTTGTCTAGAGTAACTTTAATTAGGCAAGTTCTATAAAACTGCATTTTAGCAAAAATTATTCTTGTATTCGAATTTAAACTAAATCATCAAGAAATAATTTTTTTGCTGATCTTATAGCATAAAAAATAAGAAATATAGCAAAAAAAATGGTGGTAGCGGTGGCGTTTGCTTTAATATTTTGAAGAGCACAATATTTAAAAAAATCCCCATAAGCGCAAATGCACTGACTAAATGTAGAGATCCACCTGATTATCGTCGAAGGTCGTGAGCATCAAAAAATGAGAAACTTGATGAAAATTGTTCTTCGCTGATAATTGCATAATTTATGGTCCTTATACCATTGATATACTGTTTTTGGATTAAATAGATATCTAAGGTCTATTATTATTAATTATAATATATATAATTAAGGTGCATTAATAAGTGCGGATGGATTCTGAAGCAGTAAAATTTTGTATGTACATATTTAGAAATCTGTTGTAAAGGTACAGCTCGATATACCTTTAGCTGTACAGATAATCTCAGCGGAAATGTTGTGATTAATCTGGCACAATAAACGTGTTCTTTAATGGACATTCAGCATTTGTTCAAGACTATGTAGAGATTATTATTATTTAATATTAAGATTGATTTTATAAACACTAGTATTAAGGAAGAAAAATATTAAACCATTTTGAGTCTTAAAAACTGTTGTTTCAAAAATAAACTAGCTGAAAACAAAATATATATATTTACAAACATTGGAATCACAAATACCTACAGGTGACAATGTCAATAATCAATAGTTGAATGTTAATAAACATTACTTGAAAATATTTTCGGAAGGTAGACTGATAGTTATAGAACTCACCATATGGGGAAACTCTCTACTTCTAGCTGGAGTGCCTCCGACAATTAAAGGATTTTCATACAAAGCGCACGTTGATATTGGATGGTTTTTTATCAGACTTCTTAAGGAAAATATTTTATCTCCGTCTTCTTCATATACAGCACGGCTGTATTCTTCACACTCTGAATTAGAAAAAATGTATTTAATTTAAATGTAAGTTGAAAACTGAATTTATTAAATTTTTATTTGGCTTTAAGTAATTTCGTGAGGGGCAGCAATGGTAAGAGAGTAAGTTTCATATGATAAGAAATAAATTTAGCCTGAATCTCATACTTACTTTGCCGAGCAACGGTTTGACTTTTCACTGAAATCACCCAGCAAAGACCAACAAAAAGATGTTTCCATCTTTCGCTTAATTTATTTGGAAATATTTTGTACATTTCAAAGAATTCGTAGACTTACCAACAATCTGAATGACTGCTAAATCAGTACATGATATTAGATTTTCTGCGATATCTTAATTGCTCACTGTTTAGCAGTCAATTCTGAACACAACTAATGAATAGCAATTTTTGTAATTTGCTATTGTTACTAAGTATAAAACGTTAGGAAAGCACGAACACAATACGGTTTAGAAATAGGAGTGTTACTCTCACTCTTATGAGACCAACTTCGTGACTTCTGTTATGTAGATATTTTTTTAATTCTGGTTATTTTTATTATTATATTGCAGTTTAATTAAATTGATTTCTTGACCATTACGTATACGAATAGAGCAAATATAAATATTGGTCAGTTAAAACGAAAAATAATTAAAACTTTTTAACGTTTTTTATCATTTTATTTCTAAAACCATTAATTCCACATGCGTCTGGACAACTGGAAGTTTTTATACCCTTTGAATCAATTGGCGTTGCATAGACTTTAGAAAGTTCTCCTATAGCGTGCCAAGCCATTCGTAAAAAGTTACAAGAAATACTTTGGTTAATTTGTTTTTTAAGATCTGCACGATTTGCAATTTAAAATATTTTTAATTACTGGCAACCTGTGGAGAAAAGTATTGTTTTACACTTCAGACAAAAAAAGGAAATCCATATTATTTAGCAAATAGATACTCATATATTAAAGCTACCCGTACATAATAGCAGTAATGATGGCGGAAATTAGGGTTATTAAATAAGTTAAATTTTGCCTATCGCCTCCATACGCCTACAAAAGTACCAGCAATAGTAAAAACCATTTAGTTATTAGTTCATTGGATCATAACCCGGTTCAAGAAGTAGCTATAAATCGGTACTTTTTGCCCCGGCCGCACTGCAAAACGTATAAATATTATTAGTAATTGTTTCGGCGGGCAGAGATAAAAGACGTTTTATTTCTATTCTAAGAACTGACAATCTGGTTTTGTGTGTAGGCAAGATGTTAGTTTATTATTTGCATTTTCATACATACTCAATAACATGTAAATAATAGTTATTAAAATGCAAGTTTCATGTAACGGTGCATTGTCGCACGAGAAACGAGACAGACAGAGTGTTTTATAAAATTATTGAATATAATGAAACAGTATTTTTTAAAATTTCAAATTGCGTAGGGCGTTAGTTTATATTGATAATAAGTTGATTGATACTAAAATTGATATATAAAAAAAGTTTGCTGCTTTTGAATTTTTGAATTTTTCTACTTTTTGTCAATTAATCTACTTTTTCGTCTCTGGTCCCTTAATATATTGCTTGATTTTCGAGATAACTTTGTTTCAGGGGCATGTATCAAAGTTGTTTTTAATTATCTTGTTAAAACTATGCGAGATACGAATAAGTAACAAACAAGAAAATGGAAATTAACCCGTTGACAAATATTTTTTGTCAAAAATATAGGCGATGATCTAAGGCTTAGTTATTAAAGTTTAGCAAAATCGACGAAAAAATATTAAGTTATTTACGAAAACTGTTTTTTTTTGTTATTTCAACATCCTGTATATTTAGTAGGAAAACGTTTTCTGTAAATCACTCACAGAGTATTTTCCCAGCAAGAATAAAAGATCATTGCAATAATGTTTTCGTTTCTTCAGTCAAAATGCTTTTGCTCAGGGCAGTACGCACATAAAGTATTTATTTCGGTTAAAACGATTAATTTGCTTGAAAACCATTTAGTGAATTGGAATTTCGCGGCAATAGTAGGCTTTCTGGGATGACTTTCGATGAAAACGGAAACCATGTCAATGGGAGATATCATTAAAATAGTATCGCCACCATATTTAAGAAGTTCGGCTATGATTAGGTCTCCGCCAAGGACTTTATTATTTATTAATTCCTTTATTGCTTCTGTAATTTCCCCTTTAGGGAGGATCTCGGTTGTTCCGCAGCCAGCACATCTAATGCTTCCCCATCTTCACCAGTTCCTCCATTGAGCAGATGATGGAAGTAGAATTTCCACGTTTGCAATATTTCTACTGTGCCAGTTATTAGATCTCCATTTTCCTTCTTTAAGATTTTATCGGTAATGGGTCTGAATCCTGCTTTTGTAGAGCGTAATTTTTGGTAGATTATTATTGTGTAATTTTTCCTTTCTTCTTCTAGGACAACTAATTCTCTGTCTTGCCATTCTCTCTTTTTGCTTCTTAACAGTTTCTTTCCTAGAGTTCTTAGTCGTCTGAAACTTCCCCTATTCTCGTGTGTGGGACTTTTTAGCATTTTGAGTCTAGCAGTATTTTTATGCTTCATAGCATTTTTCATTATAGCAGTGAATTTTGTGTTGTGTTGCCTCCTGGGTTTCTCCCTACCACCTTTATAGCTGCTTCTGTAATTGTTCCAGATATAAACTTCCAATGCGCTTCCATATCAATATTGTATGTGGTGTCAGTGTTTTCTCTGTTAAGCCACTCTAGTGCGTCCTGATACTGTGCTTTTATCTCTGTCTGCTGAAGCTTTTCTGTATCCGACTGAGGAGACAGACGATTGGTTCGCTTGTTCTTTACTGTAGTAGCTTGTTCTTTACTTTACTGTTCTGGCTTTAATCTTGCCTTTGACCAGAAAATGATCTGAATCGGCATCTGCCCCTCTGCAGCTTCTCACGTCTAGTATATTACGTTATATTAGATCCCCATGTCATTCTGTGTTCATCTTTGTGTTCAAACGTAGTTGATTTTATTAACATATCATTTGATGCTGCCACCATTTGTGCGTTTTCCCGTCCAAATTTCGCATTGAAATCGCATCCCCAGGATGTGTCATGTCTTGACAGATCTTTTATACCCTTATAAGCGAGTAGTTGTAGAAAGTGCCTTTTATCCTAATATAGCACATCCTGCCGCTAAGTGGCTCAAATATTTCCTGACGGGCCGACTGAGTCAGCAGAAATTTCCTTAGTGCAAAACCTGTTCCGAAAGCATGGCTATTTTGGTCATTGTCACTATAAAAAGGTACTGAGTTCCCAACCTGAGTATGACCCCCTCCAGGTCACAGTATTTCTTGCAGAGCGGTGATATCCATATTCATCCTTTCAATTTCTTTTATCGCTTCTATTGCTGCACCCGGTCGAAATACAATGAGCACGTTCCATGTTCCAATATTCAAATGTTCTTTCCTTGCTCTTTGCGTTATTCGTCTTCATGTATCCGTCCTGATCCTCAACCCTCCTTTTTGTCAAAACGGACTTGGGACCGTCTACGGCAGATAAAAAGCAAAAATTTACTAATGTTTAATATAGAAGATAATAATATTAGAAAGTGTAATTAAATATAAACATATTTGGCAGCTCCAGGAAGAAAGTTCAAAAACTATTACAATATAATGTTTTATTTATCGGATCAATATACTTTCTATAATATGGATTACAAACATAGCTATACTTAAGGGTAACTTCAAGCTTCTTTTCCGACTCCATATTAATTCCATTTAAATGATAAGCGTGCACTAAAACGCTATATTTTATATAAAATGACATAATATGTCGATATAAAGAATATATTTTTAGATTTCATTTCCAGCTTTTATTATTTTGATGTAAACACATCAAGTCCTTATGATCATATGCAATCTGAGTTAGAACGCGTTTAAATAAATTATTATAATGTATATTTACAAACAATTCACCAGTTTTATTAACCTTTTCATCTTTAGAGATTATTTTCGTATTATATTCGTATTAGCGCTCGTCTTAGCAAAATTAAAATACGGCGTAAATAAGCTTCAAATACAAAACTAGCTGTGAGGAATTATTGAAGATTTGCAAGACATTTTCACTCACCCATAGTGTGGTACTCATAATACATAAATGTAACCTTCAAGAGATATTAATAGGTGAAAAGGAAATTGCAATTTAAAATTGACCCAAACTATCTCGATCATAATTCGTTCAACATCTAGATCATGAATTTTGTATGCAACGGCTAAAAATGTAGACTACATTGTAGGCTACGAGTTGTTGAATATGTACATCCTACACTGTATTCCAGGACAGACCAAGATATGTAATAATTCATAGGCGATAAGAGGTGTGTAAATAATTTACAACACAGGCAATTGAGTCTGCCCTGAAACCATTGTTAGTACCACAGACCGTACCATACATTTTCAGGCTAATACTATAGATCTTGTGGCTATTTCACCGATATATTATACCGTATTTTATGCGATAATAGAGAGAGAATTATGGAAAGTCGTTATCTGGGTACTATTTTAAGAAATAATGAAGTTGTCTTAAACCGGAACAATCAAATTGCTAAAAAACGGCATGTATGCATGCTACTGTTTGTATGAATAGGAATTAGAGTTTTCAGAAAACAGATCTCATATTTCGGCCAAGATGGGTAGAACTCCGTAGCTGATTTTCATAACAACCTTATTGTTAAATTCCAATATGTATATGAGACAGATTAGATTAAATTGAGTTAGTAACTCGCACGAATACATTTCAACCAAAGCGGTGATTTCGTGAGCATTTGCGTGCACGTGCGTTCATTTATATGTAAATTGATCTACTTTGCGGATGAAGCTCTCAAACATATTTTTCGATCATATTAGTAGTTATAGGGATGTAGGCACAATTATCTCTGCATGTGCTAGTTGATGGTACACTTAGAAAGAAATGTTATAAAACACAGTAAATAGCAGGTAGCATTTTGTATAACAGATATACTAACTAACTCAACCACTTACTAGCTTTTACATTACCTATAGTTTTCTTAGCAGATGGGCAAAACGATCCGTCATCAAATTTAGTTTTGCATTTCATATGGTATTTAAGTAGTTGTTTCACCATAAAAAGTATTGATCCCAGTAAGTCGAAGAAGCAAAAATTAGATGGTTCAAAAAGAACTCTATAACTCCCTCTATTTTACAGTCAAGGAAATGTATAAATAACATTCCTTTTTGTCTTAACTCTGACCCATTTTGAAACTCGAAATTAAACTAAATAAATTTAGAAAGACAGTCTGTCAGCTATCTCAAAAAATTAATGAAATTAAAAAGCTTCTCGAGTTTAGCAAAATAACTTTAATTAACGTGTGTTATTTCTTCATCTGGTCATAAAGAATGAGCTTTATAAAACGCCATTCAATTATCTTACTACAGTGATTTTTGAATGACCGATT